TTTTTTTATGTTACAAAATATTGAGTAAAATCAAACTACATTGATGTTATTTGTATTTTAAATTCGACGAAATCACAGTTAATAATTTGTAATATATGTATTTAGTTATATACAAAAAGCGAAATCGAATAAATTAACTTAAACACATTGTAAACGGAAGCGACATTTAAGTAGAAAAAAAAAATTAAAAGAAAACGCCACTAAAATCGAAGTATCCCAAGACTGGAGTCCTTAATTAAACTCAGAGCACGTAGCACTCCTTGATTCAGTTCCCAGGGGCGAGGGACACCCTCCCCCCACTGCCCGAAGCCCCCCCTTTCCTTATGGACCGCTTAGATTTCCACCCCCTAAGGTCGTGTGTACGGAATACTTTCAGACAAGAATCTTGTACAAGGAATTGGTTTTGAGAGATTCGGACGTTAGTTTTATAGGTGTTTTTTCTTCATTTGCTCCGTCAATTGGCATTTCTATTTTCGTCATACGACGTTAAATGGCCGACTATATTTAGAACTCAATTGTCTGTTCTCTAACCTTTGATATTTTGCTATAACAAACTAGGTTACAAATGAAATGAGATATTAAAAAAAACCTTAACATTTTGATTGTGTGTCGAGAAATTGTTTGCTTTTAAGATTAAAATCTCGTTGATTAAAAACAATTTAATTTTAAAATACATTATGTTTTATTTATTAATTTGTATTAACAGAACAAAACTGATTTTCCAGTAATAATTATACATTTCTCTTATTATTTTCATTAAGAAACAGTTATTTCTTGAACTTCGAATTACACAACATTAACAAGCTTTTAAAAGTCTCTGGATGTCTCTCAGCTATTTCTAAGTCGAGAAAAGGCTTTAAAAAGTAATCACAGGGGTCGTGAATGTAAAGTTAGGAACATTTGGCCCCGGCGACGGCAATTATTGCAAGTTTTATACTTCTAATTTCGTTGTTCACAATCTTTTTTTATTTAAAATCTTCGATGGTAATATCAGTTTCGTTTAAAAGTCTTTATGTATGTAATTTTAAGAATAGTTTACGAAACTAAATTGCTATCTAAGTTTTTTTAATGAGCACTGATCTCTACATTAAATGGATAGAGGGTCTAAAGTACAGCCTTTCTTTCGTACCGACTTGATGCTCTTGATAATTTAATCTATCCCTTTTATTAATTACAATCTTCATCAATGCTACCAACCGTCAGAGATAAAATGTCATAAACAAAATAGGTTTAAATTACCATAATCTTTTACTAGAGGCCAGTGTTGAGCGGATATAAAATGTTTGTTGTTATTTGATGATGTTTTTGGCAGTGAAACCTCACACTTATATGAATATTAATAAGAGGAAGTAAACATAAAATTTCCTATTATTTAACGTTTTCAATTGCAACGCTAACGTAATACCATTAAAACCAGTCCAATTATCCTAAATGCTTTTGAATTCTTCACCGCAAAAAGTAACCGCAGCAAAAAAAACGTAATAAAAAACCAAAGAGCGGTAGGAAAACGGCGGCCGAGTAATTATTCAGAAAGCTAATGTGCCACTTGTTTATTCCCTGACTAATTAAGAGAAGAAAGAGTTTAAAAAAATACCTGGAAAGGGCAGTAAAAGGAATCAAACATTCATTATGTAAGACAGGGTAATGTCGGGGTGAATTTTTCTCAAAATTTTAATGAATTTTTATTCCCTTCCTACTCTCGAGATGTATTTTTTAATTTCTCAAATTGTGTAGGGTGCAGTTCATTGCTCGAATTGGATAAATTTTATTCTGTGTTACTTATTTTCCTTGTACGAATTAGATACGACGTTCGAAAAACATAAGGAAACCGTTAACGAATAATACGACTATTGTTGGTTATTATATATACTTTTACATGAATTATAGATATCTAGATCGGTTCAACAGTTTTCGGCGGCAACCTCTAACATCCATCTCATTAGTAAATTAAATTTGAAAATATCACAAAACTGATGCCGTGCGGCTTCATCCGCATGAAATTATGAAAAAAATATTTTTTTGTTTACATTTGACAAATTATCAATTGCAAATGTCAAAATGACATGACATAACAAACCTTGGCAATCTTACTTTCTTGATGTTGGCAGCAACTTATGGTCTCTTTCCCACATTAGGGTTTTTTATCCAAAATATTTACCCCCTAAGTTTAATGTCGTGAAAATATATAGCCTAAAGCGTGCCGGAAGTTTAGGGCTTTTTATTAAAAAAGTGTTATTCAAAAATTTGCTGTAATTGCTGACATCTTAAGCAAATAAAACAATATAACATGACGTAATTTTCAATGCAGCAATACTTAGGTTAGCAGCACTAATTGGTCACAAATGAATAATTCAACACATCTAATATCAATTACTATAACCGCTTCCAAACTAAATGCGGTAGGTGCCAAGAGAATTGCCGAACCAGCAGGTGGGTAAGAAGTTTGCGAGTTACAAACTTCCCGACTCAATTAGCGTCGAATTAAACCGGTCCTGTTGAGGTGACAAATCGCGGGATCCAGTCCCGTTTCGACATTGACTAATTGCTTAGGGTATTTAATTTCGGGTTGTTTAATTATATATTAAAATTTTCCAACGATAAATTGTGTAGGCGGGCATTAATCAAGAAGTTGGGACACTGATTAAAACGACGTTCGAGCAACTATTTGCCGAGTTTATATCGTTAATAATTTACACGTCGGGAGAAAGTGGTGGTAAGGGAGGGATCAGGTGCGGCGCCGGATATCTAATGGGTAGATAGCAAGTGATTTTAATGGATGTACTGACTAAATAAATACCAAGCATATGTTTTTAAAATAAAGTGAAGAGATTCATAGTGTTTTTGTGTGTTTTTTTAAATAAATTTTATATTGTTAAGTGATATCACTGAAATTATTATATGATAGCTTTTGCCCGCGAGTTCACGCTGAATTAAAAATAACAAAAGTGAGTAGCCTGTGTGTTTTTAAAACTATCCTCTACATCTATACCAAATTTCAAGTTCAGCCGTTAAGGTAACAAACTCTAATAAACACCGATCCTTCCATCCATGTAAATATTCGCATTTATGGGTAATTAAAAAACGAAGTGTTATTCAATTATCTATTACAGAATTGATGTAGAAATATTTCAATTTTTTACACAATATAAATGAGTAAAAATGCAAGTTTTCTTCTTCTTAGGAATGTTTATTATGTAAAGGCATTCGTGCTCCGAGTGCCTTCGCCATTCCCGTACATCAGTATACCTACTGCACTCCCCAGTTCATTTAAGACGTGGGAGGGGGCTCTATCGTCCGTGATTCAGGCATAGATTCGCCGTTTTCATACAGAACAGTGTGTGCGAGCGAAACAGATTTCTATTTAACGATAAGTGCGAATGAGACAATAAATCCAAGGGTCGGGTTAGTTATTGAGGCACATGTTTCAGCTTCGGGTTGATTTATAACCAGCGACGTAATAGAGATGAATAAATTTCTGTTCTACTAAACGGTATTCGTGAAATTTTGAACGTGCCCAAAAACTATGGGGTTGAATTTATTAGACAAGTTTTATTTATTTATAGTCAAGATTTTTATATAAATACTAGCTGTTGCCCGCGATTTCGTCTACGCAATATTAAGATAAATAAGTAGCCTGTAATATGCCAGTCTACGTCAGCTATCCTTCAGTAAATGTCCGGTCGAAATCGGTCCAATTTCGGAGATTACCCGGAACAAAGGCGACTTGCGCTCGTACAGACAATTTTTTTTAAATGCGGTTTTCGTTATCAGCAATGCAAATACATCGTCTTTCCGAAAACTGTTTGTAATGTCAAAAAAACCCGATTTTTTTTGACATTACAAATAGAAACTCCAATTTTATTATATGTATAGAATAGATGAAATAACTTAACGGGGTTTCTTTAGCTTCTCAAATACTCGTATTCTTGGTTGAAAAAATAATTCGAAAATTCTGCTCGCAGTGGTAACTAGCAAACGATGTTATTATTTGCTTCGTATGTAACAAAACACAAAATGTTCTGAGAATTGTGTTGAGGGTTCAACAGCAATTGTTTCCGAAGCCGACGAATCGCAGAGTTAAGTGTTAGTGAGACAAGGATGCCGACCGCAACATCTTAAATTCATGAATAGACGAGTTGCTACACACGGCTGTAGTGATTGACGTACTTGGATGTGTGGACAAAAATAAAAATGCCGTCGAAACTCTGTAGTATCTAATTTTTTCATTAAAAATCAAGGTGTATAATGAAATTATTATTGCTAGTTATTGTTAAAAGAATAGTTTAAAAATACTTGGATGGTATTATGTCTGACAAATCCATTCATTAATATTTTTTTCGCAGATACAATCAAATTCAAATTGTTAATTTCTGGTTAAAATGTATTTATGTTTAAAGATGAATTTTGCGAAGGAAAACAACGAATTTATGACGATTTTTTTGTAGAATTATCAGTGATTATATTTTGTGGTATTCATTAGGCTCTCCATTTTAATTGTCTGTGTATCTCAGTACGTTCAACTCTACATACACCATAAACGTTACGGGCGCAGTCGAAAGCGATTATTATAAAACAAGCAGCTAACTTATCTTAAGGTGTTAATGTACATTAATTATGCGCTTAGGGGAGGTTCGGGGTAAGATGTTTTGACAGAATTTCAACTTTGAATAAGGGTGGCTTTGTTAATGGGATCCATTAAAGAAACTGAAGGAGTTATTATTGAATTATTATTGTTAGGAGAGTGTAGGTGTGTTAATCGAGTATCTTAAAATGTGTCAATAAAATAATTAAATGCATTTATGAAATAGGATTCGGATCCGTAACTTTTGATGCTTGTTAAAGGGAACGAAATACAAATTTTATTGGTGCAATTGGGTGGTGGTTTTTCAAATTTATATTGCGTTTCGTGGTTTAGATAGTCACGTTTAAAAACATACGCTTAATTGTATATTGTCTAAAATCGTACAAAACAATATATAGTTACTATTATAATAATTTACCTGTGTGTATGTATGTGTGTTTCTTCATATCTGACTTCTGGTGGAAGCGCTTCCCGCAGTACTGGCAGGGGTAAGGCCGCGTATCAGAGTGAATCAGAAGATGTGTGGAGAGAGTACTCGACCGCTTGAACGTCTTCCCGCACTGCTTACACTCGAAGACTTTCTCCACGCTGTGCACGGCCCTGAAACAGGCACGTTGTTTAAGTCTAATCACATTCAATTGTTTTCTTTGTTTCTGGATTTGCAACTAGTTAATGCAGAAAGGGACGCTTTGGAAATAATCGCTGGACGAACAGCTTCATGGCAGCTGCTAACCGAAACCTATCAAGGTGCTGATAGTTAAGTGCGTATGAGTTAAATTCATACTACATCATGTAACATTCACAGTTACGTTTATCTCGAAATTTGTATAAGTACTTAACTAATTAATGCATTAGTTAAAAAGTTATGTAATGCAAAACCTGAAAGATCAGAGATTAAATTAGTATAATTTCAAATGGTAAATAAATTTCAATAGATCACTCACCTATGCTGGCTCAGACTGATTTCATGTCCGAAAGTCTTGCTGCACAGTTCGCAGGCAAATGGTCTCTTTCCATTATGAGACCTTCGAGCGTGTACTTCTAATCCATGAGGGGTACTGAACATCTTTTCGCATTTTACACACGAGTAGACATCTCCAATAGGCAATGGTCTGGTTAAAGGACTAGGAGCGCCGAGTACCGCAGCACGTAGTCTAAGTAACTCAGGTCCAGCCGCTTGCACGGCGTGCAGATACAAGTTGCTATATCCACCCCATCCAGGAAGACCAAGACTACCTGCATCTCTGAGGAATTCCGCGAAAGGTAGTGGCGGATATAGGAACGGTCTTTGTGGCTGTACTCTCGGCGCATCTGGTCTTAGTAGAGCGCTTACTGAGAATGCCTCTGATCTTTTTAAAGGGGGTGATGAATCTGGTAGTCTTCTGGGTGAAGATGGAGGAGAATCGACTTCTAGTTCAGGGGAACTGGATCGAATGGAACGGGGGGATTGTGGTGAAGGAGCCCAACATGGGCTACCACATCTGGAGTTTGGTGAAACGTTGTCGGGTCTTATTGTTTCCATATTATGTGTCTCGTCTTCTTCTTCATCGTGTCTTTCCCCAACAAGTCTGTCGATGCCGAATTTTATTTCTTCTGTAAAAAGTAATGTATCGTTAATAATGTTATAGTTGATAAGCAAAGTATTATGCAGTTGATTTATGGATTGGAAAAACCATGAATCATAGCAGATATCTTTATCGATCCAAATAGTAAGTGAAAGATTGCTTTGCGATTGTTGTAGCACATAAAATTTCTAATCTTTATGGATAAAATATTCTTAACACTATCAGTGACATACTTTAGTATATATGACCTTTAGGTCATATATACTTTAGTATATATGACCTTTAGGTCATTTTTATCATGTTTAAAATTGATACGGTAGGTATTTATTCATTTCAACTGACTTTATGAAATGACATAAGTGAGGTGAATAATAAGAATAAAATATAAGTCATGATAGATTGACTAGTATAGTTAATTTGCAAACAAGGTAGAATACTTTAGGAAGAGACCAAGAACAAAAATAAAGTAAAAAGCAGAATAAACATTTGGAAAAATATTACATTCGTAACCCTTTAGAGTGCAACTCGCAAATGTTTGTTGAAAGAGCACAAAGGGACAGCATATAGCTTCCGCGCCCCTCGCCCCGGGCCATAGCAGGGTAGGGTAGGGCAGGGAAAGTGTGCAGGTGCCGCACTTGTAGCGAGCGACGAAATGAGCCGTATCATGTCGTAGCAGCAAATTGACTTTCATCTGTTCAGCCCTCGCAGCTCGGGGCCGGCCCCAGTAATTAACACGTCGGCCTCGCCTCGGCTATAACGGACCCCAATCTTTTTTTACAATTCACTAATCCGCGGGCGCGACTCCATAGTGTTCGATGTTCAATTCGTTTTATTTGGCGGGTCGATGCTCCATTGCTTTTGTTATTCTAAACTAATATTTGTTCACCCACATCGCTGTTACAAATTAATTGGTTTCGTTGTTTTTTTGTCTACAAATTATAAATAGCTGTGATATTAGATATAGTTCATGCAATGTTATGCATTACGCTTCAAATTAATTTTAATTTCAAAGAATTATAAATGTTGGAGCATAAGTTACAATTTCGATTTTAATTTTTAAGTAGATATGCCTTAAATTACTACTTAAATGGCAAAAAGACTAATCCTGCCGTTACTTTACACATGATACTGATTACAAAGATCTAAATGGTCAACTTTCACCGTCAAAAATTCGGTTAAATTCAAACTAAATTCCCCCTATGATCCACATACATCAAGTGACCATCAGTCGGGGTTCACGCTGTCCAAAAACAAACATCCATCTATAGCTGTGACAAGTTGCGCTAATGAAGATCTGCCCCCGTCTGAAAAATAGCAGCTGTTGCGATGCAGAGCGGAACCGATCGCCTTCGTTATGCTGTTTTCATACGAGGGTAGAACAGTAGAGTACAGTACATATCTATCATGAAATTCCAATGCAAAAGATTATAAGGACGTTTTTATACAACTGTTTCGACAGAAGAAACTTTTAACACAGTACTTTATAAATTATTTAATCTTTCGTGAGACATTTTATAATTAATTATTTTACGGCTATTACTCACGTCTACTTTTTTCGATGACGTCACCGAGCAGTTTCAGACCCTGCGGGGGTCCTTCTTTAGGGCGACAGTTATTGGGCTTGTTTCGCGGTCGCGTTGCGCCTCGCACGGTACTTTTTGTCTCAACGTAAGCGTTCAAATAACAGTTTTGTTTTGTGCTACTGTTCTGTATCATTGTACCACCCTAGTGTAAAACTAGACTAACTTCCAAACAAAGCACACTCCATTGTACGATGACTTTAAATATTAGACCTCACGCCTGGACCTCTATCCCCCGCACTTGTTTATTTGTACCCCAACGACACGGTTTTATTGCCCCATAGTATTTATTACATATTAATGGTTATTTAGATTCATTGTTCCGCCCCAACAGTACGCTCGAATTCATGGCTTTGCAAAATATTGAATAGACAGACCCTCCGAGTAATTCAAAGACTGCTATTATTGCCTTCTATTGTAGGTCTTATTCTGTAATTATAAATGATTTGATATCTGTGAATAGACGATAATTTATACTATTTTTACACTTATTTGATATTAAATTATTATTTATGTTTTTCCACCGATAGGCATAAAAATCGTACCTATGTAAACAGAAACGTTTTCCGGCGCCCTATTCTCGACCGCAAACGCTTATTTTTAATTTGTTAAAAGCACTCTGAAAAATAACAATCAGAATGCAGTGCGAGAGCCGCGCCTATTATAATTAAAATTGCATTAGGTTCGCAAACAGGCGGACTTTAATGATCATTACGCGTTGTGTGCACTAAAAAAAATGCATCCGTTTGTAACTGCGTAATGGAATGAAATTTTTTAAGCAGCAGCAGTTTAGATTTATAAAAGTACGTCTAAAGCTCAGTTTCTGAAGTTACCACTTATGCTGTCATTAGGTATCGATTCATTAGTGTTTGTGTTAAACTATGTTCCAATGGTGTAAAAATTACGTAGTTCGGAAACGCATTTCATGAATTTATCGAAATTAAATGTAGCTTGGAAACCGGCCACAGCTTGGACTAGAATAGGGTTATGATATCGACTATAGTTAAAGAAACTGTTCAGAGTACCAGTGCAGGGTTTTATAATGAAATTTGTCACAGACCCCATATAAGTCGGACCATTATTAAATATTTTATTTGAACCGCTAATCTTGATTAACGATTGACGCGTGACTTCTCATATTTTGTAATCAAATACTTATTAAAATTTGGTAATATTACGCGATGTAAGCTTAATTGCTTATTACTTAGCTCAGTTAATGTGAAATCTTGTGTATGGAAAGTGCATTTAAAGCGCTAAAACATAACTAGTTATATTATTTAATCGAAATCAACGGAACAGATTTGAGTAACCATCGTTTGTTGACAATTTATGACACGTTTTTATTTTCCAAAATAACCATAACCTGAATAAACTTTTAAATTATTATTTTTAGTGTTTAAATTGAAAGCGCCATCTTGTTTTTGTATTTATAACAAACACTTAAAAACGTAACATCAATTTATGAAAACTAATCTAATATGAATAATAAAATAAGTATAAATCAAATGTTATCATTCGCGTTTAATACATTTTATCGACCGCTATAATGTTTTTTAATTCCATTTATCTGCAGGGATTACCTAAATCTAGGATTGTAAACGACACTACGTGTCCGAATTAATTCCGTGACCGCACACATACACACGGCACATACAAATATGCACGCTCTCTGATTGGCTGCTGTTTCTTGTCATAATGTAAAACGCCGTTACGTTTGAAAATGTATCCATTATATGTTATCTTAAACCTCGGGTAGATTCATATTGGATTTGTTCTTGTATAATCAGTTCTTTTACTGGGTATTAAAGTAATCAAAGTAATATTTCGAAGGTCCGCGGTATGCGATTACTGTTCGATATTCATATTGATTACATAAAGTTATGTTGATCCTTTTATCTTTACGGTTGCTTACAATTTTTTGCTGAGGAAGTGACGTGAGCGATATAAAGATATTTATCGACGGCTTCTTTTGGTTTGCTACTTTAAAAGATTACTTTGTTATTCCATATTTCCAAAATAAAACAGTTAAAACCCTATGACAATATAGGTAACGACTAGTGTTTGTTAAACCTTTCCTTGAAGACTTGTCATTGACATCGTATGAAGTGATACGAGTAAGATTTTTATAGCTATTTCGTAGCCAAATGTTAGAAACAAGCATACTTAATTTGAATCAGATTACCGACGCCAAGTGTGAAACTGTCATTATTTAGTGAATAACTGTAAGACTGTAGTTTTCATTTTCAATTTACGTAGTTATAACCTCGATTATTCTAGTTATGGTATTGCCAACATCGTCATTAAAAATGCAATTTGTAATGACAGAAATGACGATATTCATATCTAATGTAAGATCCGTCTCGGTATGTCTTAGCATTGACAGTGTGTTCTCCAGATAAGTGTGATAAATCAGGGCTTACTGCGGCGAGATCTGACGGATTTCATGTTATCGTTCTCGAAATCCGACAGATCACGATTACTGTGACCACGCCTTTCGATATTTGCGGACAACGTCACACGCTCACGAGGCTTTCCATGGTTTTCACAACTTTAATACGTATTCGAGTGGTTCAATTTCAGTGATAATTTATATCTTGACAGCATTTGATTCTTTTTTAACGGATTAGAAATCGTTCTCGAATCAATCAATTTACAAATCTACTAAAGCAGTTCTTAACTATAGTTTTCTAGTTATTTGAACAAAGATGGATGTATTATGTAATGTGTTAAGCACTTCTTCCCAGGTTTCATCAGATAGTACGGAGTAACGGTAAACAATCCCGGGCGACAGCGGGCTTGTGTACGTGTCCCGATTTCCACGAATTATTTGCTGAAACAATAGCACGCGCCGTGTTTGTGTCATAAACCAATTTACGTTTACCACTAAAATGTGTATAATTCAATGCGTTCAATCTTTATTACCAAGCAATAGAGACGAAAATCTTTTGATAAAATTTCGATGCTGTTACTTTTATAATTGTCGTCTTTGAAGCGTTGACGAAATGTCACTCGCGGCGTCTTTGAGATTAAATTCAGCTTTGATAATTACTATTTAACATGTGTCTAGATTTGTGATTACGAGCGAGTTTACGAGGTAACTTCCTTTAAAGTTTTCGTCTTGTAATGTAGGATTACGTTCATTTGTGACAATTCTTTTTATATCGTGACCTTACTTTTTGACTTAATGACTTGCTTTATCATTGGATTACCTCAAGAATGCTAACCCGTTTATATTTCAAGTGACGAATCATACAAAATCATGTTACACTGTAAAAAATCGCGATTTCATGCCTCGACCCATATAGAGATTGTAATTTAGTCTTAATTGTAATCACTTGGGGATACATTTCATTTGATGATTAACGTTATTATTTTAAGATTATAAACCTCGTAGCTACACGGACTTTTATTGTAGATTTTCAAGTACTCCAAACACAATGACACAAAGTGGCATTACTTCAATGATCATGACGGTATGTCACGCGAACTTTAAACAGCAAAGTTACGGAGTAGCTTTGCTGGACTTGGACAAACAAAGACGTGAATAATAGGGTAAACAGGGGTCATGGGGCGATATCGTGCCCGCGTGGTTGACGCGCAAATATTGACACTCTTGGCGCGCACGAATGTTACCCTCTGATTGATTGAACATTGTGGTTACCTTAGTGTATAGACTCTACGTTACGCTTTTGTTTTTGAATAAGTATTTAAACGTGAATACAATTGATAAATGTCTTATGCTGGGTTTCTGAATTTGTTTATTTTTATCACTATGTTGACATTATTTCAACAGAGTAAAACTCAAGATACATAGTTCGGAAACGGATTTCAATAACGAATAGTTTAATTTAGCTAAGAAACTGGTTATTAAGTGGTTCATTGCGTTGATTAGAGCTAATACCTGTGTTTTAATGATGACAAGAACTCTAGCTGCTCTATTTACTAGTTCTAAATTTTCCATTAGTCACTGGGTGACTTATTACCTCATATATAGTTAATTACCTTAAGCTTCAGATACGTTTCCATTATCAATTATTTTCTATGTTTACTGTAATTAATGACTCGCGTACGTGCAATGTAACGTGACGTGATTTTTTATAGAATAAATAGTTATGATGATAGATTTTATTATGATTTCATAGAAATAGTGACGTCCATGTGACAATGCACACATTTCAAACGGGCGGGTTACAAAACGTTATCTTGTACAACTAATGTTTGCTCACAAGGGTACACATGTCCAAATCGGATTTACAACGTGCGAGACGAGGGAGATGGAGGGTCGACACAAAAGTATTACATATTTTTTAAAGAATCATCAATGTCAATATCGTGTACTATAGTTAAATGCATTTTTAATTAATAACTTTATTTTAGAATCAATTTGGAAATATAAAAAAATCTCGAGAATTTTATTTAAATGTCATGTATTAAACCTTTCCAAATTCAATAAAATCTGTTGCAATATCATGCTTCTTCTAATGTAACGAATATTTCTACTTTTTGAGCCATCTCATTAATTCCAACCCTTGCCAAAAATGCAATAAAAGTCGATAAAACATTAATAAATAGTGTTGTTCCTGCCGACGTTACCGCGTTATCATCGATATCGAAATTTGTGTTCGATATATGAATTACAAGCATCATAACATGCAGCGGACGTTTAAACTGTCGACACACGGTATCTACGATACCTTTGTCGCCGCCGCCGGCAAATCAGAGTCATAAAACAAACGTAATTTCGCCAGCGATACGCGCTGTCGGTCCCCGATAAGATATGTCAAGCCCAAATCTGAAGCCGTGGGATTTGCTCAGAACTTGTTATTGGAATTTACACGGGCAAGCAAGGGGTGCTGTAAAAACCAATCTATGTACGTAAGAATTGTTTCCATATGATTTTTATTTATTTACCGAAACTTTGCCCTAATAGTACAAGAGCGAACGAACATCTTCGAGTACGCTATCGAAATTGTTGTGCTATTGCCGATTGTCGATTGTTTCGCAGCCAATTCAACTGTTTAGTTGCACAACTAAAAATCGAGTGTGCGCACCTTCATATAAGCTTATAGGAATCAAAGCAAGACTAAACAGTTATGTGATAGTTTAATTTCAGGTGTGCAATAATGTTGAACATAGGAGAATAGGAGAGCTGAAGGTCATGATAGTAGATATATTATTTGTCTCTTTTTGTAGTCTTTACTTCCACAGATATTATCATATTACTAAGTAATTATCAAAGAATATTCTAACCTCTAACATTGTAAGAGTCGTGCGTTTGTGGCGGTGGAGGCGAGGCCAGTCGAGGCTCCGGGCGCTGCACGGCGGAGCCCCATAGCGACTGGCATATGCCATTTCTCAAAGCTTCACTGGCAGAAATACCTGAAACAAAAGTTATACGTATAAAAGTGATACGTCGCTTGAAGCAATTGATAACGGTTGGTCCAAGCAGTCCGCGTATGGCGACCTTTAATCATTTTTCACGTATTTTTTTCAATGAATATACCTCAATGTAATAAAATATTTTGATACAAAGTTCACAATAACACATGTGGCATGCTTGTTAGTGTCTGTTATTATTTAAAGTTTTTGTTCTCTGCTAGAATGGTGTGGTGACGTCATCGAATTTAAAATCACATGTTAATTTATACTCATTGTAGATGTGATAATTGTTTCTAAAAGTACATAGGTGTTTTTAGATTACAATTATTATGAGCAAGAAAATAATGTTATTGAAATCAAAATAAAAACAGTTAATTTTTTGCGTTGAATGAATAAATATTGATAAAATTAAGAATGTGTATATTAGAGGAAGTTTAAAGTAGCGCCAGTGGTGGAGAAATTGTAAAGCAAAAGGTTAGCGTGGTATGGGTTATGCGACAAGACGATGGGGACATATACCAGAAAACGTAAAGATCGAATCTGGATGGCTACAAAGGTAAACCAAAGAAAGTATAGATGGGTTGTGTGAAAGAGGATATGCTTAAGGGAGTGGATTCTGATATGACGGCTGATAGAGATGTATGGAAGAGCAGCACATACTGTGCCGACCCTCCGTGAGGGATAAGCTCAAGATGATGATGATAGCGTTTAGTAATACAAAAACCATACAAGATTAAAAAGTCATCAAATAATTATTGTAAGTGTTTGACGAATTAAGCTGTGAATAAACTTTAATTGAGAATATCCAATTAATTTGAAAGTGGTTTAATTTGTGGCGATCAGCCGAAAGTCAGTTGCAATTGAAACGAAGTACCACTTTAATGGTTTTCAGTTAAAAATCTGACAGTCGCTGATCCGTTTTAATTAACAACTGATTTTTTATGTAAAGGATATTGAACTTTAATGTCAAAGTCTTTAAAGGTTATATTCGTTTAACGAGACAATGTGACAATTCACTTATTAAAAGGAGTTCCATAAACTCAATGATCTATATCTATATTAAAAAGTTTTGTATTTTTGTATGTATCGGAGAATTTCAAACTTTCTGATTTGAACAATTCTTTTGACATTAAAAAGCTACCAAATAAGAAATCTATTACTAAAACATTATTTTAAAAGTCTGCGTGAACCAAGTCGCAGACATAAGCTAGTCATTAATCTAATCTGTAGAAAACCTCAACCTAAGATGTTGTTGAAGTGAGTTTTAAAAATTCAAATATCATTACAGCAATAAACTTTTATAATTAACTATGTCGTCATTCACATAAAAATTGACATATCATCCTACCGTTATAACACACCTTCGTAAAACACCGTAAAATATACTATTGTGTACATTTCCGGAGATATAAACATACTAGCTTTTGTCCGCGACATCATCCAAGTTAAAGAAATGATTAAACAACCTATATATCGTCCAGACTATGTTCTACATTTATACCAAACAGAATATTAAACTACATATAAAATTACCTCGTAAATTTCTGTCAACAGCAATAATTATAATAAGGCACCGCCTGCTCTCGAGTGTTGATAATTTCTATAATAGATCTAATATAGTACTAGAAGAAAAATCCTTTTTTAAGATATGTTTACTGCCTTTCACTTTGCAACAAAGAGCAAAAAACGCATCAACTTATGCAAGACTAATTGTTGCTCGTCAATTCGTCTGTTAGAAATTAAAAAAATGCCTTATTACTTACAGAAAAAATTTTAAATGATGAAAGAATTACTAAAATTCACCGAGTAGTTTTTGAGTTATTTAAATACAAAAATACTAATCTTTCTCTTTGTAGTATTATTATAGATAAAATATAACTGACCTGTGATAATATCTTGTGTCATTTTCTTTACAAACACATATTAAAGTATAATCCAATTTAGTTTAATCTCAAAAAAAAATCAGGAGCGATCATTGACGTGTTAACGTTTCCAATTAAACTATTAGGGACATTGAGAGTGTTGAAATTTTTTTTGTATCGAAAATTTTATCGCGGGCGCTTCGGTAATCACTGCCGCAGATACAAGATAAAATATTGATAATTACGTTTATCGCTTGTAATTACATGTAATACCTTGTATTTGATTGAGCGATGGCTAAATTTTATTTCATTAACGAAAACATTCATGATTAATACAATCGTTACAGAATTAATATATCAATACTATTATTACACTGTTTAACAGTGGTAGAACCCGCCTACATCTTCGCACGAAAGGGCCGGCTCGCCCGGTGTAATACCACGACCACACAGAAAACAGGCGTGAAGTGGAAGCAATTCCGCGTTTCGTCTGATGAGTGTGGTGCCGGAAGCCTAATTTTAGTCCCTTTCTCTTTCCACCCTTTTCTTAAGAGGAAGGGATGGGAAGGAAAAGTGGATTTGACGGTGGAAACACATAGGAAGGGAAAATGTCCTCTTTATGTGCGTCTCCTCCTCCGTCAATCAAGGGTAGCCAACGCATCTGCAATTGCGGATGTCTATGGGCAGCGGTCACTTTCCATTTCGGTGGATTCAAAAACTTACATCCATCCATTTAAAATTTCGCATTAATAATATTAGTAAGATGGTAAATACTGCTTACATGTCAATTTTGTATTGTTATAAGTAAATAAAAAAATGTATATTTAATATCACATACATCAATTTAAATATAAAACCGTTATATAAAAATTTAAAATAAAAATTCAAAATCAAGTTCAAGGAACATTTAAATCGAAGTTGGTAAAGCGGATGTTTCGTAACAGGATAAGAGCGATGAGAGACGCAAGGACAATCTGTGCATCCCGGTTGTCGAAGGAAGAGACCGTTTCGGTGGCGCCAGGCTGACCGCGGCCGCCGCCACGTCCCCTTAATGTTGATATATGCGCACGCGCTCACAACAGATTTCCTCTGCGATTTTATTGAATTATTGCCTATGTTAACAACGTAACTTATTGATTTTTTAATGCGATTGTACAAGATTTGGTAGCTTTATAATGTTACTTTACCACAGTACATGACCTTAAATTACTTTACACATCTTAATTAAGGTAATGTCGCTTAGTTGAATAACTTAATTATTAATTGGTCACTAAGGGAAACGCTTAGCGTGCATTTCTTAACCACTAGACGCCGGGCGCAGTGTAAACTGCTTTGGCATCCGAATTAACCAACGTAAAGGTTTAATAGAATAACAACAGGCAATCCAGAGTTAATTCGATAAGCATCTTACTTATGACAATAAAATTGTAAAACAAAAGGCAGTCGGTGCGGCGCCAGCGCGTTCAAGAATCAATGACCGACGTCCGGCCGCGGCGGGCGGCGGAGGGCGGCAGGTCGGCGGGGGGTGTCTAATTCGACCGGCGGCAATTGTCGCATCGCTTCCTGTTATATCTTCGCCTTAAGTGATGGACAGTATCACGATAAATGTCGTTTCATGGCCTTAATCAAATAAGAAAGACAATTTTAAAAGCAACCAATACGTCTGAATGTACCCTTGAATTTCGATGAAGAAAGAATAGAAAGGACATACATACACGCTAAAAACTAAGAGGATCTTTTTTTTTGTCTCTAAACCTTAAAATTCAAACTGCTTAGTTGCTACCATTGTAGGTGCCCATGGAAATCTTAATATGTCAATTAGGTGACCTGCATTCTCTTCTTGGAAATAATAGTGTGAAGACGAATAATATTGAAATCCACTACCAAACCCAGGTATAAACCGCTAAGCAGTGCGTTAAATTAAAAAGCTGGAACAAGGCGACGGCGCCGGAGCTCTGGCGCCCCGCTTGCATGTCCATCCCCTCTCCGCTTCCCGCGGCCGCCGCGATCATTCAATTACTATCGCCTTTATTGCACCCGATGGATCATTACACCTAACTGTCTATCATAATATGCACGTATTGTGTGTCTCGTCTAAAAACACTGAACTTACAAAGAAGTGCACATGATTCATTATGAATACTTTCGCCCAGGACTCCATCCATGTGGAAATTGAAAAAACATAAGTATCCTATAAGTTCTTCCAGCCTATCCTCTACATCTATGCCTAATTTCATCGAGATCCGTTCAGCAGTTTAGGCTACAAACTCTAACAAATTATCACTAACCTTACTAAGACAGTTGAGACGTAACATTTTTGAGGTGTTAGGTTTTCGCACAATTTTTTTTTAAACAACTAACAGTTATAATGTGTACAATAACAAGACGAATTCATAGAATCGGTTTCCTATACTAAGATTGAGGCTATAAATTTTTCCAATTAGTATAAAATCTGTCAATAAAAAAATGTCGCAACTGTCAAAAAGAAACGAATGTTTCGCAGATAACTCCTTGAACTGCGGCTTCCGTATTGATAACAGACTTCTAATGAAATCTTACGTTCTTAGAAAACTAATCTTTACAAGCAACGACATTTGAACGATAAAATTATTTTTAATTCTAATGGTAAGACTATCGCATTATATACGTTTATTCACTAAGAAAGCCCTTTAGTTTAAAAACTTATGTTTTTTAATTATTTAATGACCATCGCGAATTGAATTTAAATTTTGTTTGAATTATATTGCACTCATAAGACAGTCACTTTTAACGAGATCTTTGAAGCAACTACAGTAGGCGAATTCTTTTTTTTTCTTTGTGACTGATTTGTCACTGTTTGCCTTGAAGAGGCATTTACAGATTCACCGGGCTTGAGGTGGCCAAGCGCGGATGGCGCTTAGCCTAAACCTCTTTTATGAGTAACTAGGCTCGAGGGCTCTCTCAGGAGCCTCGGCTCGGGCCGTTACTTCGTTATTATTACCGGATTGGAACGAATCCTTACGAAGTTTTAGCGGTAGGTAATACTTTTAGACCTACATGTTTCTATCGGAGATGCCACCAACGCTTTATCACAGTCAAAGGCGGCCGCAGAACGTCAATTAGACGCGTATGTCGCAAGACAATCGCCCCTTCAGCCAT